TCAGAATTGCAGCCACAGTTTATCTTTGCGTGATCGTAAGAGTCAAACAAATGGATGAGCAGGTGGGGTGGTTTTGAACCATGGTGCTGCTTTTATTTTGTAACATTCGATGTTATCCAAACTCATCTTTCCTATGTCAGTGTCATATGACCTTTACTGTATTGATGCGCCGTCATACCAAAACAAAACAAAAGAGAAACGAATGTCTGTTATTCTTGAATAAATGTGAAAATTCTCAGTAACAGCGGTTCTACACTTAGCTGCCAATATTTCCAATATTAATCAAATATTAAATAAAGTAATTTATTTGCAACAGTGTGCGTCACAGCAACAAGTTCATGTATATAAGTTAACTTGATAATATCTTGATGAAATGTTTAAAACATAAGGTATTACTGCTGATGAAACCATAAAAAGGCTTTTAAATATTTAATGAGGATCACTTTATCGAATTTAATTTTGAGTTGAGCTATATTTGTATCTAATACAATTACGAGTAAAGCTATATCTGTATCTAATTTGATCATGATTTTTGCGATTTTGTATTTATTTAATTATAAGTTCTAACTTTTTTTCTTGTTTTGTTGTGTTTATTATCATTACATGCATTATAGTCTACTATAAAAGTTTATGTAAATGTCAATTTAAACATGTAGATATTTACCTTCAAGCAAATAGAATATTTCTATTTAATTAAAATGGAAATATTTTGGGGGAAAAACATAAGTGAATGTAAAAATATATATACAGTTAAATCCGGTTAAGCCGAGCTGTTGTTGTTGATGATTACCTTGTGTAAACTGCTATACTAGATCAAGGATATAACTTTGCTTGCTGCGCCATTTTTTTTAAGTCAAATATTCTTATCAAGTATTTGACTATGTTTATAATGTACTATTTTCAGTTATTCGCCTTGGTCATGGATAACAAATGATTAATTGTTCAGAATTTTACAAAAAAACAATCTTAATTCATAAAACGCACTTGATATTAAAATTGAAATATATTCCAGAGTTGACAATGAAAATAACATTCCAGGAGAGAATATGACGTTAAAACAGCAGTTGCACAGACGTCCAAAGTAAGTGCCGGCGTCTTTTAAAGTTTTTTTTCTTTTAATTTCATCAGCTTACAGCAAATACTATGTATTCATTTTTACCGACCAATATTTTAAAGGGCAAATTCCTTAGATGCGAAATAATGCTATCCAGATGCATTATAATTATATTTTGCTTAAACTACAACTTCTGTTGAAATTGTTTATTTTTATATCAGTGTCTTTTAGTTAAAATATAAATTGGTAACTAATTTTTGAAGAGTTTGAAAATTAAATTAAAAAGAAAAGAAAATAAAACAATGTCAAGTGAACAAAGAAAGTAATCAAGATAGATTACCAAATAAAAAAAAATGAAAATATCCAACTTCAGCCCTTAATGCGGCAATCACGAATAATGAATATTATTAATACAGCAAAATCAGTCATTCATTGCATATTACATGTAGATTATTACTTTAATAGTGTATTTATTTATCTACTTTTATTAGAATATTTGTTCATTTGCCTAAAAAGTGTTTTTGAAATAGTTTAGCTCTTATATTAATAAATCTTCAATAACTTTATATTACTAAATTGAAAAATAGCAGAATATTGAAGTAAATGTACCACAATTTTAATATGTTGATAAATAAATATAACGAAAATATAAACTATTGATATGGCGTGCAGTAATTATTCTATAATTTAATCACAATCCATAACAGTAATTTAAACGTCACTGTAGAATATATATTTTATTAGTGCCTGCAATAAACTATAACCATACAGAGTTTTACGTACAATATTATACAGCCAAGAAATATGCTAAAGGTGAAACATAAATATACGATATTATATATTGTTTAATCAAAATAAATATACTATTTACAGATGAGAAAATAATATTGTCGTCTTTTTGCTTGTATTGGAAAGGTGCGTTGCTATAATAGATATTGAACACATTATCTGGTTTGTCGAGTATTTTCGAATTATATGTTAGTTTTTACATTGCAACATTTTCTTACATATTTTTTATGTCAGTCAGTACTGTCCCGTGTTGAAAGCTGTGCAAACATTCAATGTCTTGTTTGAATTTCATCGACTTTATCATCGTATAATAAAAATAATGTTGCTTGAGTAGAAATCTCTTTTCATTTTAAAATGCACTCTTCATGTTTGTTATCATGTTTTACAGTATAAAGTATTTTTGTTTTCATTCTCGTTATGAAAATATTACCACCAATTGAAATTATCAAAGTATCACTTACATGTACTTAATCGTATACACTAGTTTAAAGATTAGCATGATGACCATAGCTTTATTGGATCGTTTTATACACAAAATATCCACAGTCCACAATGTAATTGGCAACACGAAAGATTACAATGTCAATATTAGGTTTTTCTAAACCATTAAAAAGTGACATTATGTTCATTTTTTTTTTGCATTGTCATGTTGAGCTGAATTGACTATGTATTTTAATATTTTAAGATTGTTATAACGGTGATTGACCAACAGTTAATATTGGAAAATGTTTAGGGTAAAATGAAATATACCTAAAATATAAAACACCACCCACTCTTTTTATAAATTGAGCTATATACATGTATAAATGAAATTATAAAATTGAAAGGAATTTTGGCAAAATGTAAAACTTTATTTGACTTTCACCTTTACACTCACTATCTACCCTTCGATTGGCATAATGTCACTTTAACCTATTATTGTTCAACAGATTTTTTTCAGCTTACATTTTATTACCTTTAAAATGACTTAGGAAGAAAATTAGATTAGATTAAATTTAGGCAGCATAGAACGTGCTCAGACCTCACGGATGTGCAGGTTTGTCTGGCTCTACACTTGTGGTTGCGATTGTTATTTAAGATCCAGAAGGATGTTAAATCTGTGGCAATCATTGCAATTACCACTACCGTCCATAAACAGGCTCAATCAAACCAAGCCTGCAACTTTTTCAATTTTGACTTGTTTTTGTATTTTCTGATCGCAAGATCAGTAAATACATAGTTAACATCCACGGTCTAACACAAAATTTCCTCACAGACCTAACAACGCAAAGTAGTTCTCACTCAAAACTGCTTAAAAACCAGCAATTTAAAGAAATAATAATTTTTAATGTAGGCATTGAACGAATTACAGTGCATTAAAAATTTACATTAGTCAATAGAAATATGAGGTTACAATCACAAATTTCGCGGATGAATATCTTTTTTACCCAATGAAAAATGATCCACTATTTCCGTAAAGCTTAATCAATGAAAATGCTAATTTTAGCTATGTCGATTACCGAATACTCCAGAGCGTAGCACACAAATAAATCTGACTGTCGAGTAATGGAATATATACATGTCGGACTGTTTTGGCGAGAAGATTTTCGCTAAATTATTTTCATCAGTGTTTAACAACAGGTTTATCGTGAACAAAATACCTCGAAATAAATAAGGATTACAAATACGAAACGAAAATTCTCAATTTTAGAATTACAATATATTTGTTTTTATTCACGCTACATACGTATTACTTCACTGTGGTGCAGAGGTAGCGCGCTCGTTTAGGGTGTGAGAGGCCTGAGGTTAAAATCCTTGTCGAGGTAACATTTTTTTTTGAAGTGGCTTTTTTAAGGAAGTTGCCACGATATGCAAGGATAAAGTGTGGCTGTAATAAAAAATGAAAAATGATTTTTGATGCAACTCTAAGCATGCAAAATTCCATATGTATCAATCACAAACTGCATGTTAAACGCAGTCCCTGCGTAAGATGAATAATAGTACATAAAAATAAACTTATACAGGAAAGATCAGAAAATACCACAGAGCATGCAGCCCTTTGATTTCTTAAGGGATTCTGTTTTTCTCTATTGTACTGTTCACCTAGCCTAGGCCCGGGCTCCAGTTTGTCTATATTTTTATGTGATTCTGTTATCAAAAACACGAACGAATACGCAATAGCGGGTAATAATGTTATATTTAAACAAAAACTATGTTATGAATAAGCAAAGACTATCAACGCCTGAATCCGTTGCTCAGTCAGTTGTTAATAATTAATTTTGACCTCAATTGGCGGGAGATTGAAAGATGGACATATCGATTTAAGTTTTGTAGCGATATAAGTGTTTAGATGTTTATCTACTGTGTATTATCAATGTCACAATGCCAGGTATTAAATGTAATGTGAACTCTAACTGCAAGTATATGTTATAATAATAAATATCTAATATAATTAGTTATATGTATAGGATATTAATGAAATATATATAAGTGTTAATATATATACTGGCAGTTTTATGTTTTACATTTTTAATAAAAAAACTAAGGGCTATTTTAATGTTCCTGTTCATGGAAATTTATAGTACCAAACTACTTTACACTTGCTAAATGATTAATATTCTCAATAAAAGAAGCAAATGTTTCAAATCAAAGTTAACGTTTTTTTTCCAGATATTGCTTCTTTCCTGACATTCGTTAACATAAAAACAAGCAAGTTGCCTCCGGTTTCCCTTCAACACTTTCCATAAATCAAAGGGTTAATACAATAAGAGAACAGATGAACTAAGCACATGTTTTATGAGAATAACATTTTACCATTAAGGCTATGACGTTGTAATGTCATCGTGAATCTTAAGATTATCACGTTACTTTGTTATATCAATATCACTGGAATAGTGTTACAGATAGGTAAATGTTACTGCAGTAAAACATCTTGAGCAAAATCTCACCAACCAAGGAGAACGCAAAGCACTACAGGAAAACATCCTATTACTTATTTTCCCATTATTGTTATGGTTATTTGTTTTTTAACAACATTTTCATTAATAAAAAAACAAAACACGTGGAAATACAGCTTTAATTTGTTCCAGGAACAAACGATAGGATAGAATTTACGGCGCTGTTTTTTTTTGTGTGGAAATAATAACCTTTGTATCGATTAGTGTTATACGTTAATCTATGACTCTACGCTATTCATTTACAAATATTTGTCGCACCGCTCGGGATAGCTTTTATCTATTTTCTATACAAAATATGGCGCACTGAGATGAGCTGTTAAAAACGAATTAACCAGCCTTTAACATGATAAAGCTACGTATTGGCTACTCGTGGGTGGAAGCGACACCAAAGGCATTCGGCAGAGAGTGAATGTCGCATAGCTACATGGAACTTCGATAAACTTACTAGTTATTACAAGTAAAACTTTCAACTAGAAAATATTTTACTTCATGCATCTACGGGAGCTGTTAAGAAAAGAATTATTCAACACGTTGAAATAATGAAGAAACCAGAATAGTAATTACAGGGATTGTAAAAATATTAATTTGGAGTTAATAAAAGTTGATAATTACAACATATATCGGGCAATGAAGATATGCGTTTGGCTAGTAACAGCATTTCTTTGCTTTCACTCGTCAATATCTTTTTCTGATACTGGAAATATCATGGACTGCCACATGGGCAAGTGTAAGAGTGTGAAGCCCAATCGGAGAGTCCGGATCCTTAAGGATCTTGTTAAAAATTTTAATTTAGAACCGACAGTGATAGATATTACGCTCAAAACACTGCATAATAGAAAGTATGGTACGTTTGGAGAGTACGTCAAAGAAGACTCACACGACAAAGACATTCCTAAAATAGGTAAGATTTTTTTATTGACCAAATTTGATAGTGCGTATAAAAATTAAAATCCTTGTATTCATTATTGTTAATTTGTTTACGTTGATATGTTTCCCGCGCTTAGCCTAAGGACTAAATACTCGTACATGTTATTTCTTTCCTTAAAATGAAAGATAAAAATGTTTTAGAAAAGATTAATAATATAGGATTTCAAACAATGATTCTAGTAGGAAAAAAAAAACATTTTACCTTTTTATATTTTTTTTTTCCTCAATTTTTTTATTTCTATTTTTATTATAAGGTGCGGATCAGTTGAAAATAATGCAGGCTTCAGGGAATTGTATATTATCTAGTGTATCTAAATAATGAAGGATATAAATATATCATGCCAAAATTTGATATTTGAAAATACTGATAATTGCTATATAGACAACTTTTAAATATACAATGAACATATTTTGAGTACACGCAGAGAAGTCAATTTACATTTTAAACCCTACACACGGTGTCATATTTAAAAAAGGCAGTTCTTTTTAAAGAAATTACCACACTTACTTGTCCAGTAAAATTCACTAATATAGATTCTACATTTCTCTTATTCAAGTCAGACATTTTCAGTAAAAATACCCTAGATTTCAATTAATGTCTGCAATAAATGTTTCTTATCAGGACAAACACAGTTGTTTTTAGATCACATACGTTGCTTTGGTTTACAAAAGCACCACAATAATCGATTTTAGAAAATATTTTTTTCTTTTCAAAAACATATCTTAAACATTAACTCGCTGTATTTCTATCAAAATATGTTTCAAACTCCTGCTTTTATAACACCTTCATATACCTCTAAGTGTAATTTTCATAGATAGTTAGAAAACGGAAATACCTCTTCTGAAAAAAAGACTAAAATGTGCTAACCTAAAATATGTATATGTATAGTTCAACTCGTGCTGAGTTAAGGTGTGTTTTCGTCATCGATTGCAATTTCAATTTTATTACCACTACATTCTATTTGCATTGCAGACATAGGTTTTCTTACTATCTAAATAATCATTGCTGAAACCTGTTTAAACGATAAATATATGTATATATCTTAAGAAACACTTTGTAAATTCTGATGTTTTCTTTTTCTCCTAAGAAAAGTAAGAGTTTTATAGCTTTAGATACTAACATTTAATTGGAACTGGTTTCTTTATTTGTATCATTTCGTCCGCAAATGTGCGTTTAAACGCGCATTTTCACGATTACCTGGCGAGCGTGACACTGCCTTATAATGCTACGATTTGCCATTAATAATTGATAATAATAATTGTAAAGAACATAGTCTGGAATTAATTTTAAGAGCTATTTGTAATACTTTATTTTATGCAATACATTAACGGCAATGGCGGTAAAACTGTCAGGTATATTATACTTGGTAATGAAATCGCAACATTTGAGGAGGCATTTTTATGGTTTCTGGTTTAACGGAGATAGCTCGCTTTTAACTAATTAGAAATTAATTAGTAATAAGGTATTTGATCCCATGTGTTACTCACGCCTGACAGCGCCTGGACATTTACAACTTTGTTGTATTGGTGACTATGGCTGTAAGCGTGGCAAGGTTTAATAAATTCGTGGGAGGATATGACGAGTCCTTTGGGTCTGGTTATACAAAAGGTGATTCTAATTTGGGGAAAATTGCCTAAAGATTACTATAAATAATTAAAATTGACCATTTTTCATTAGACTTACGCGGAATGCACGATTTGTTTATACCTAGAGATACAAAAGAGTATATTTCATTGAATAAGGGTGTTATACCCCTGTATCATGCTCTATTTTGAATGTACTGAAATAATGTTAAGAGTGTTGGGTTTAAATGTATAACTCAATCATAAATGAATCGTAAACTGCATATTTTCTACAAAACTATGACATTGGTTATGCTGGTTTTTAAGATTAAATATATTCGTTCAAATTACATGTTTCAAAAGACTGCAAAGGAAGAAATTGAAAGAACTGTTGACATACATGTATATACGGAATAAAGACAATCATTGCATACTTTAAGGCAACTTTCTGAAGAGTATAACCATAATTGTGAAGAATATGTTGCTTCAGTTTGTCCTTGTCAAATCTGAACAGCGAAATATTGATCAATTTACAACGAAATCAAATTATGTGCCATATATACCTTTTCAAATCTCTCATGTCCTTTCGTTCTTCTCTCATAGTCTGTACCTCATATTTTCGGATAAGAATTAAATTTCGCAATCGATCGCTAAAACAATAAATGTAGCCACTTTTAAAATTTCAAATATTATATAACTTCTTGCAGTTAGCTTACAGCTGCCATTGAAATAATCAACAATTTCTGAGCTCAACAAATTCATCAACGACCTACGGCAAATATTTCACCAATCTTTCAAAGACATGAAATATGAATTTTAAATTACTTTTATTACTGACAAAAACTAAAATTTCCCTGCAAATTTATCTCTTTTCTACTAAAATTGCATCATGTATTCAGTCATTATTTCAAAGTATTTCTTTGAAATACAAATGCAAAGCTTTTTTGTTTTTGTTTTTGTTTTCTAGATGAGGTTTTGTTTAGAATTAATATTTATATATCGAAAGGTATTTCAAGCATATTATCAATCATGCTGGGAGCAAAATGTAACAGACTTAAATTAACTGTAACGGATAATGTTACATAATTAAGCTATAACGTCTTGATTTTGTTATATGTTTATACTTTTGTATTATAGACAAAATAAATTTAGAGGAAACTATATTTCAATATATATTTCCTATACCTGTAAACAACGATTTTCATCTTTCCTTTTAAATTGTTGGAATTTTATTTACAAACACGCTTTTTACATTGTGTTATGAAAAACTTAATTCATAAACTAATCTTTTTTCGTATGATGAGTCTCAGAAATGCTTTTGTCTTTCATTCTTTCTTTCTTTCTCTTCTTTCTCTTCTTTTTTCTTTCTTTCTTTCTTTTCATTCTTTCTTTCTTTCATTCATTCTTTCTTCCGTCTTCGTAAAGGTAAAACATGCGTTTAATACTATCTAAATAATGAACTATTATCACATTAGATGCATATCACTAGAAGAAGGTAGCGGCAAAACGGAAAATAATTTGTAATCAAAATAGGAAAATGTGGTCTTTTGACTTCCATACAAAATAACAAATCACTATAACAGTGCTAAATGTCTCAATGCAAATGAAGCAAATATGGTTTATTCATATGAATATCAGGGCATAAAAAATAAAATAAAAGGCTTTGAGAAATAAGGTTTTATCTTCTCCTTGTTCTTTCATTTGGAGCCAAATTGGCCCTTAACTTGGTTTTGAATGAATACTAGTCGTACGAATGAGCGTAAGTATATTCTGATCAGTATCTTGTTTTGAGAGACATTGGAATAACACACGAATTATTAACCAATTAATTGAGACTGAATTATCATTACGTCTTAGTCATACACATTATGATGAATATTGAGGTTGTCAATAATGGTTGCAACATGAAATACTGTTTAAAAATAAACACCTAAATGTTGTCATTTAAAACTTGACATAACAAATATGTATTGCATCATAATTATGTTGAATAAATAGCGCGAGAAATCATTATTGGAGCTACATTTATCTCAACACGAGACGGTTGGAAAATATTAAAGACACTTAATACATCAGAAATCTGTATTTAGTAAATTCTTAGAAATGTCTAAATGTTTTAGTAATAGATTTAGTGTATGTGAGATGTATAACAGCTAAAACTAGGCTGCCCTGAATGTGCAGTAATTAATATATCGAAATGTAAACAAAGTAGTATTTTGACTTTCATACAAAATGCTAAATTACCATAATTATACAAAATGGCAACATAGCAAAAGAAACAAAGATAACTAATGTATATGGCAAAAGAGTATTTTTTTGGAAACTATGACAAAATACCAAAGAACTAAAATACTTTTTTGTGAAAGATAGTAGCATTTCTCAGGCATAATGGGCCTTAAAGCGTTTTCTTTCTTTTGTTATTCATTTGCATGCTATTCTATTATTTAAGTATTCCGTTGGATATATATCACATAGTTTATTGTTGTCTAATGAATTGACACAATCTCAACGAATGGCACTTTACTTGTTACACCTTCGATATTTTCATCATTTACTCGTTTTTCTTTTTTCACCGTTTATATCTACTGTACTTTGATCGTTTATATCTTTCTACGTTCTCATAAAAAAACAATTTCAAGATTTTTAGAAACCTGACATACGTATAATTATGTGTAAGGAGGTTGGCCTTCAGTTGATACATTTTTGATTTGATTAAATTTAAATTTAATTTAAATTTGATTAAAACAGAATTGCATACACTTTGACTTATTTATTCATTTTTTAATTTATTTTGATAAATTTTAAAAAATATGCTTTCCGTGTAAGTGACTCCTGGCCCAATCCCCTACCAAGAAAAAAAGTAAAACAACAACAACAATAACAAAAAGGTGGTTTTTTTTTTCTCTTTATTTTTTTACGGGTAAAGAAAGCTTGACCGACTTTTAAGAAGATGAAATTATTTAATGATTTATTAGTTGGCCATTTTTAAGACAATTTAAATCACTGAGGGGTCAATAATTAAACTAAAAACAGCATAAATTCTATCACTACTAATATGCTTTTCCCCAGACTAATTACATGTTCTTTTATAACCTTTACAACATTGGTATGATTATTTTAGACCTTTAACAATAATCATTAATGCGCAGGGATTAGTAATTAGTGAAGAAATGATTAAATGAAACCTTTAAAAGATAATTATTTCTACAAAATACACTTTTTCATGACGTATTAAACAGTTGGTGTTGAATTAAAACATGTGGCAATTAGACTTAGTAAAGACCTGGAGAGCTTAATGAAAATGATTAAAAACAGTGAAATAGGAAATAATTGTCTAAACTTGATGATGGATCGTTTTTCTTCTTTCTAAGTATAATTTTTTGGTTTTGAAAATCCTGCCGCGAAAGTCAC